AGAGAGAGAGAGAGAGAGAGAGAGAGAGAGAGAGAGAGAGAGAGAGAGAGAGAGAGAGAGAGAGAGAGAGAGAGAGAGAGACCGATGTGACTGAATCAGACAGGTTTTGAACACCTGACCTGTGGGTAAACAGTTATATAGGTTGACCGTTTGACCGCCGAAGAAGGAAGAAGTCCACCTATCAACACTACTCTACCATTTGGAATGCATTGGTGTATTGATTTGAATCATTTGATCATGTCTTTGTAGTAATGAGGTTGTAACTTTGTAATAAGTTTGTATGTATGCTGATTGGCGACTTATGGACGTCACTATGGTTTCTTCATCAGGGCGGCGGTGGCGGCGGAGACGATCCGTCGAAGAAGGAAGAAGTCAATGCGCCGAAGAAGAAAGAAGCCAGTCCGCTGAAGAAGGAAGAACGAAAACCGGATGTGAAAGAGCGGGATTCAGTGGCTGTTAAGACCGGTAAGTAGTGAGTATACATAGTACATGCTAACTTTAAGTAGTACCAAGTATACATGGTACATCCTAAGATTGAAGTAACCTTAGCAGCTATACATAGTACATGCTATCGTTAAGTACTACTAAGTATACATAGTACATGCCATCGTTAAGTACTACTAAGTATACATAGTACATCCTAAGATTGAAGTAACTTCAGCAGCTGTCAAGACTGGTAAGTACTAAGTATAATTAGTGCATACTAAGCTAAAGTGCTAAGTATACATAGTACATACTGTACATAACTTCAGCAGCTGGTAAGACTGGTAAGTACTAAGTATAATTAGTGCATACTAAGCTAAAGTGCTAAGTATACATAGTACATACTGTACATAACGTCAGCAGCTGGTAAGACTGGTAAGTACTAAGTATAATTAGTACATGCTAAGCTGAAGTGCTAAGTATAGATAGTACGTACTGTAGTACATAGTACATGTACTAAGCTGAAGTACTTAGTATACGTAGTACATACAGAGTACGTACTGTAGTATATAGTACATGTACTAAGCTGAAGTACGTAGTATAGATAGTATACATAGTACATACTGTAGTACAAAGTACATGCTAACCTCAAGTACTAAGTATACATTGTACATCCTCAGATTAAAGTTACTTGAGCAGCTGTCAAGACCGGTACTAAGCTGAAAGTACTAAGTGTACATAGTACATAGTGAAGTCCATAGTACATGCTAACCTTAAGTTGTACTAACTATACAATGTAAACATTGTACATCCTAAGATCAAATTAACTTCTGCAGCTGTCAAGACCGGTAAGTACTAAGTGTACTTAGCATTTAAGTACTAAGTGTACATAGTACATACTGTGGTACATACTAAGCTTTTAAGTACTAAGTATAGAAAGTATAGTACTAAGTATACATAGTACATACTGTGGTACATACTAAGCTTTTAAGTACTAAGTATAGAAAGTATAGATAGAACATGCTAACCATTAACTAAGTTGATCTGTTCATTGCATGGTCAGCGACTCAGCATGAATGGAAATGGCAGACAAACTTGACACAACCAGGCATGGATGTAGTGGAAACGCACATGCATGCTGGTCGACATGCGGGTTTAGTGACAGTTGTAATTACTTTCAAATTTCAATATTAAAATAAGGAAAGAATTAAAATAAATAAAAATGAATAGTTCAATAAACTAATACGAAGTATTAAAAAGTAATAAAAACAATAAAAAAGGAAAAAGGTCTAACAAAGCTTTCACGCCTTGGGCTTACCAAATTATGTAGCTTCTGAAGCTTCCTCTGTTTTTTGGCCCTTGTGGATGAGCTGCATGAATCTCCAAGGGGCAAATTTGAAATTACAGAACTTGTTATCGCTTATCCTTCTCGAGCGATAACAGTTTTTGTACCCTATATCCAGCACATTAAACCGCCAATACCTTTCCCTGCCTTTTTTTCCCGACCTCCGGCATGTGCGGAGGTTGAGTATAGGTTTGGTATTTGGCGAAGGTTGGTCCGTGAAAGTGTATAGGGGCTGAGCAGGGATTTGGGGGCAGGTGCTGGGGGTGCTCGGATTGAGAGCCACGAGAACGATATTGGAAGAAAAAAACAATGCATAAAAAAAGAAAAAAGAAAAAAAAAGCAAAAGCATATGCCAGCCAATCGCACGAAAGCATAGAGATCCCCTCGGGTCAGCCAGCGATTTTCACGCTGCTCCACAGTGACCCGAAATGCAATAAGCAAAGGACGAAAAAAAAAAGACAAAGAAAAACGTCATACAATAGCATGAGAAGACCGGTGATTCCCATATGCCAGCCAACGGGTCTCACGGCACGTACATCAAGGTGGAGCGTGAAGTGAAGAAAGAAAAGTTCTTGCTCCATTGTGCCCAGATCTGAATGTATCTGGGTTTATTACGGTCATGATACATTCTACATAACCTATCAGTCCGACAGCATCTGTGCACAAAGCAGTCCATGTACACGAACGGTGTACAGCACTGTCCTGACGTGCAGAGACATCAGAAGGACGCCTTCCTCGTCCTTTTGACGCTATTGACAACGAATCACTGATTGCGTTGATTTCAGAAAGGCGCATCGTACGGGAACTGCAAGAACCAAGAATTGTTTTTTTTTTTTTTTTTTTTTTTTTCAGGAATTTGTTCCACTGTCGTGTTAGGGACTGTCGCTTTGGGGGCATGAAGGACTGCGACCTGCATATTTCTTCAAATCTAGGGGGAGGCTTCTATTTCTCGAGTAAAGCAGCAGCAGCCGTCCGCCACCTTCATTTGTTTTTCACTGAGCAGGTTCGGGCGCTGGCCGATAGTAGTAGTAGTATGGATTCCGTAAGTCTGGGCCTAAGCCTGCCTCTGTGCACGCACAGATTCGAACCGGCGACCTCGGCCTCAAGAGCCAAGTCTCTTAACCACTACAGCCAGGACACGGTGTTCAAAAGTGGAATCTTACCGGTCATGATATTCACCCCACCCTTGCAAGGCTGTAGTGTCCAACTCAACACACACCACACACAACACCCACGGAGACGGCAATTCTCGTACACATCCCTCTGTAGTCCGCACGTAACCCCCGCTGGTACTCTTACCCGCTGACACAGATGGGACTTGTCAATTCGGATAGGTCTGGCAGACAAGGTACTGCGGCTTAAAGCTCTACCGTAGTCACCCGAATGGAATGCTCTACATTATGGCTGTACCTAGACTGAAAATTGCACCAAATACAACTGTGATGGCCAGGTGTTCTATTCGGGTGAATAAGCGCATTCTGGAACTGCTGCTTGTCTGTTTTTTTTTGTTTTTTTTTTTTGGTGAAAAGGTCGTTCAATCGGTCACTAAAAGCACGATTTCTTTCTTTTCGTTTTTCTTTTTTTTGCTTGTCTATCATTTTTTTTTTTACTTTTCTATTTTTTTTTTCTTTTTTTTTTCTTTTTTTTTTTTTAAATGGTAATGTGCAGGAGAGAACCCTTCTTCTGGAGCATCCAGCAGGAGTGGTGACGAGGAGCTGCCGAAGACCTCTCGGAGTCTTAAACCATTAAGAGTCGTCCGTGTGGTAGATGCGTCTGCAAAGGCCTTGGAGGAGGCAGCAGATGCGCCCCCTGTCGGTGAGTGGTGGGGATCGAAATTTGGCTTTGTTCGAGGTGGGACTCTGTGTGGAAGCAGCGAGAGGGATGCTCAACGTGCGAATGGAGACGAGAGAGATGCAAAGCCGAGCTCGGAAGATAAAATTCAAATCTCCATGTTTCAAGAGGAGGATCAGGAGCGGCTGTACAAGACCGTCCAGGTGAGTCTCATCGTGAACGAAGCTGGCAGTCGAATGCAAGCGAGTCATCTGAGTGAGCTTTTTGTTTTTTTTGTTGAAAAAATGCGAGGCTACGCCCGCTTAGCCCCTACGGGGCCCTATCTGCAACAAGGTCGGCCRCCCTAAGTGAAGGCAGGCACGACAGGCCCTTCGTGCCTCATTCTTCAGGGTACCCCGCAACGGGGAAATTCAGACAGTTGCATTGCGCCAGTTGGTTGAATGAATCCAGGCCCTGGGCCGCCTGTGTAAATGAATGTGAAGCAGGCCTTGGGCTGGATAYGGGTACCAGGCCAAACACAGGCCGAAAGCAGTTGGGCGCATACAACCACATCAGGCCCCAGGCCTGCTCCCTTCGTGACTGGGCCTGTGCCTACCCGGGCCTACCGGAAGTTTCCTGGACTGGACGCAGGCAGGCCACTTCGATATAGGGAAGGGCCTGCCTCCTCATTCGGTATTCGGGTGCTGGCTGCATGCTGCGTGAGCACTGCTGCGCAATCCGCTGGCTGGCTGACACTCACGCTCTCACGGGCGAGTAGGAGGGAGCACGCAGCCATAGCCAAGCTGCGCTGCTGTGTGCTAGGTGAAGCGCAGGGTGGTCCTTGGGGTGCTAGTGGCATCTGTGCGGTGTGGATCGGGGTTGTGAGTGTTACGAGAGACATACCTGGTGCTGAAGCGTGCGACATTGGTCGCCATATGCTCGTACTTCGGGAACGCTGTTGATGTCATCATTCTGCTTCGTAGTATAGGCTAGATAGGATCTGCCACCTGTAGTCTGGGCGCCGAGCGCCAATAGGATATCAACTCTGGTTCGTAGTTGATGATGATGGGACTACTTCAGCATTGTCAATTTTGAACTCTTGGTGTGTTCTTATTTGGTGTATCTCGTGATGCCAGTCTGCTGTGGTTCGAGGTCAAGACTATCTGGGCTCATATGTATGATGCTGTTTGATTGCCAAAGTTCGCTAATGCTCATCTTCCTTGCAAAAATACTAAAATAGTCTATTTTCTCCTCATATGGGGAACAGCTGTAATTTTGCTATGAGCTTTTTTTTTTTTTTTTTTTTTTTTTTTTTTTTTAATTTGGACCATTTCTCGATTTATGCGTGTCATCCTTGCGCAGGGGCCATGCTAATCTTCTCTGTATCGTTCCAATTTTAACGGATGTCCCGAAGGACTTTGGTTTGAGCTTCTATTTCATGCCGCCTTTGAAATATGCTTTCGGATTTTCTTATACAGGAAAGTCAGCACACATTGCTTGCATGCGCCGTGTTTCTTATCACTTGTGGTTATAGTGTGTCTGGACCTTTGTCTCTTCACAGGCCTACCGTCAGAGACAGGAAAGGCAGGGGAGAGGGGAAGGATGAGGACAGGAAGAGGCTCAGCTGGGAGCAGCGACAGCAGAAAGAGGAGGAAGAGGAGGAGGAGGAGGAGAGCGTTGGCATATGCGAACATTTACTAGGGTAGCAATAGGGGTCTGGGAATAAGACAATGTCGCACAGGGCTCTACCTGTTAGGGCCTGGAAATTGCGCGGCAAGGGGTAGGGGTCTGGGAAGAAGAGACCATGCAAGACAGGATACTTTTTTTTTTTTTCAGTTTTTTTAAGCCGTGAGTGCCTGGAAGTTTGCATGCCAGACGTCGCCAGTAGTCCTCTGGTTTGATCCATGGTTAAGATCCGGACGTCTGGACCGCCGTGAAGACGGTCTGGGTCTGGATGTCCGGGTCGGGTGTCCGGTCCAGAGTGTCCGGATCCATCCCCCCACCCCCACCCCAAAGAAAAATCTGACTTTAAAAAAAAGAAAAAAATCTGAAAAAAAGAAGTGTTGTGCAGTATTGCAATACAAATGTTTTTTGGCTGAGGACCATCTTGACAATTCGTAGCCAAATCCAAGGGGTAAATAATAAAAACGTTTTTTTCATTAAAAAGTAAAAAACACTGAAAAAAAGGTTTTTCTTCATAGGTGCGTGCGCATCACGCGTGCGCAAGTTGCGCATGCGCAAGCGCGTGCGCACGTTATGCGGCGCATCCCATTAAATAGGGGTTAGGAGGAAGAAATAGAATCATTGTGTTGTCGGCAAGCTGGGGTGGATTGTAGACTGTGCAAACAGCTGTGTGTGAATAACATGAAGTATGAAATTGTGCATGTGGATGTCATGCGCTTGGAGACTGTTCAGCATGCATGACAGCTTCGCTTGCTCTGTATAAGTCGCAGATCCTACGGCGATGGTCCCTATTTTTTTCCTGGGTGGCTCACACTGAATAATTATTGATCAAAACTTCAAGAGCCTACAAAATGTGTTAAAATTGTTCAAATCTTTAGTCTTTGAACTTCGAAGTTGGAAAACAGAGTTCTACACTACCCCCTGCAGGTGACACTATGGTCCCAAATTATCTGAGTTGCTCACTCTTTAATAACTCGCACTTGTCAATTGTCCGAGTGATTCATACTCGAGATTGTTCGTCACAAGAGGGTTAGAGTTCAAATCTTCTTTGATATTACTATTATTACTGTTATTACATGATTGAATCCAGCTCAAAATTCAAATTTGGATTCCGGTTTGGTGGACATATTTCGTCTCCTCACCGCCGACCCCCCCGCCCAAAAAAAAAAAGAAAAAAAAAGAAAAAAAAAAAGGTTCAGGGCCCTCCAGGCCCTTCAGGGTAATGCAACAACTCGAAGAATGGGCTTGGGCTTGGGGCGGTCTAGCATGCCTAAGAACTTATGAAGTGATTCACACTTTAGGATTGTTTGGCACGAGGTTAAGAGTTAAAACTTGAAATCTTTTTGGATATTACCTAGGGAGATATCCCGGGCGCCCGGGTCCCGATGTCACGCCCGGATTGGCGACCGGGTGACCGGCCGGGCATGACCCCCAGGAATGGCCCCGGGCAGCCNAAAAAAAAAAAAAAAAAAAAAAAAATTCAAATCCAAAAAAATCTGAAAAAAATTTATGTTGTGTAGAATTGCAATACAAACAACTTTTGGCTGAGGGTCACATCAGAATTCCTCACAGAACTAAAGATAAATAAAGATAAAAAAGAAAATAACTATATCACACTAAGGCATCCCCCCTTTAACCCCCCCTTTAGCCCCTTTAAATTTCATTTACACTCCCCTTTCTTCCCCTTGACAGCCAACACTCAAAAAAAGAAAAGAGCCCGGATTTGGGCTCCTCTCGGAGAGCGAGGTAAAACCCCACCGCCATTTTTTTTATATTTTTTTTGGCCATGACCGGGTCACCCGGGCGTCAGACCCCCCCAGGTGTCACGCCCGGGTGACCGGCCGGCCATGAAAATCTTCCTTGGGTATTACATGATTTCATCAAATTGAAAATTTGAAAATTGAAATTTTGATTATGTTTGTTGGAAACGTTTCGTCTTTTCTCCCAAAACAAAATAAAATGTGCAGGATAATGCAACAACTGGAAAAATGGGGTTAGGGCGGTCTAGCATGCCCAAGAAGGTGGCGGGAGCCCGTTGGACAGGAAAGAAGATGCAGTTCTGCAGTGATGATGAAGAGGACGACGACGACAATGAGGGCATGGACTCCGATAATTGTCTGCCGAATGGCAGCTGTGGAGGGACTTCTACTGAAACTGCTCCTGGTCCTGAGGATGATGTCCCGTCCGTCGCCAAAGAACCATGCGAGGACAGCGATGCGAACTGCGTCAAGAATGCAGTGCAGCCCGATGAAGGCGAGCAAGTGGAGAAGCCGACTGGACAGCACAAGGAAATGAAGTCCAAGAAGGAAAAGGCAGGGAAGAAGAAAAGGAAGAAGAGGGAGATGGGAGGTGAAGTGCGGGAGGAGGCTATCAGAGCTTCTCCCAAGCCTTCTTCAAGCTGTGAACAGGCCAGCATAGAAGATTGTGCAGACGATGATGGGATACAGAAGAACCATAGCAAGCTGACGACTGTCGAGCATCCTGATGGTAATATAGATGCGGGCGCACGGGTCGGAAATGGAGAGGTAGGCGGCGTTGTGGACAATGGTGTGACAGAGGCAGGGGGTTTGGACGGCGTTCGTTGTAATTCGGGAAATCAACGAAGGAAAGGCAAGGTCGATGACAGACGGACAAGGGAGGTGTCAGGGAAAGAAGCACGTGAAAGTTCAGGTCGTGGTGATGAAGATGAGGTGGCTGGGAAGAGCGAAGACAGACGAGAGAAGAAGCGCAGGAAGAAGGCGAAAGATGCCACAGCAGTTGCAGGCTCATCTGAGGCGGTTGTGATGGAGGCAGCTGCCGGTGCCAAGCGGTTGAGCAAGGAGAGGCATGACAATCCCCACTCAAAAAACACGGAGTGCCGAACGCGTGCGAAAAAAGGAATAGGCAAAGAGGAGCGGGTGTGTGGAAGAGAACGGGAAGAAGAAAGAGATGGTCCCACCGAATTCAACCATGCATCAAGTCCAAATGCAGGTGGAGAGCCAGATATGTGGTCGGAGAATTTGGATAAGGCGCTGAAGAGAGTGAAGTGGAAGAGGCTCACGGCAGAAGTACTTCAGAAGGTGCGCTCCCTTTCTCCCAAGCTGCTCGAAGAAAAACAGGGGGAAAAAATTGCCTCTAGTTCAGAGAGTTGCCTAACAACGCCCTTAGTTTTTCCGCTTTTTTTTTAAATGGAAGTTACTGTGTACAGGCCCCGGAAACTTTTCAACAAGTGTGAAAATTTGTGATAATTCAAGGATTTATTATAATTCTAACCCATTCCTCCAGGGCATCCATCGAAATTGGAATGATATGGAGAAGATTAGCATATGACCCCCATGCAGTGTTGCACACCCCGACGGGCGGCGGCCCCTGACTGGTCGGCTGCCGACCAGCCGACCGGTCACCGGTCGGCACCTGCCTGTATGGGGTCGTTGGCACCCTGCAAAAAATAATAATTAAAAAAAATAAAATAGGTCCAGAACCACGATGCGGGAGAGAGAGAGAGAGAGAGAGAGAGAGAGAGAGAGAGAGAGAGAGAGAGAGAGAGAGAGAGAGCAAGAGCAAATAGGCCTTCGACATTGATCGGAGAACCCTTGCATGTAATCTGAGAGGCCCCGGCTAATAATTAGCAAGGGCCTACTCGCCGTGAAAGAGGCAGCTCTCAAACAAGAGGCAGCTCTCAAACACATTGCAAGGCAGCAGCACGCCAACTATATATGGTGTAGATTCACATTAAGGTCCGTGTTTCAGCAGTTATGGGACCACTGAGCAGTGAGCACGTGATTATCTGGGCAGGAGCAGGCCAACTCCCCACGGGATTTCCAGGGCTTCCCTCCAAATGTGCAAAACTAGAATGAATCTTCTGCTAGAACATGGAATCATACGCCGCCATATGTTTTGTCTTTTGTGCAAGCGGTGACGAGTGGAGCCAGGCCCTTAGGGCCACTGCTCGTAGGAAAAGGAAAACAAAAGAAAGAGAGAGCTCTACGCCAGTAAGTAGTTGTAGCCCATAACTGCTGGAATACAGACCTGACTTTAGATCCAGAAGATATATTGCTGGCCTGCTCCTCTCTCGGCCGGAATTCGACGAATGTCTCTGGCAAGACATGAGAGCCTTGCAGATGCTCTGCTGGGGCCTCAGAAACAAAAACTAAATTCAACGAGGAATACGTGGCCCTAATTTTTTTTTCTGTGCCCTTAAAATTTGTGGAAGGGACGGGCACGTTTCGCTACCTCAGCCAGCACCGTCATTACCGCCCCCAATACCCCTTATTCACTCCCCCATACCCCCCTGTACCGCCCCCGACCTCCCACTACGCCCCCCTGCATCCCTAAAAGTTTCTCAGCAGATTTTGTGAGGAACAAGCCTACTAGGGGCCCTATCAGACATCACATGTTCTGGGCTAAGTCCCCCAGCAAGCCAAGTGCCCGCCAAGTGCCCGCCCTAAGTGAAGGCGGGCCTGAATATTCGTCAAAGGCCAAAATTCGACACTTACACATCTGGGTATTCAGGCTCTTGCACCACGCCAGTTGGTTGAATGGACGCGCGAGCCTCGCTAAGCTGCTGCGTACAGTTGGCCCAGGCCCTGACAGTTGCGCCTGGGCACATACACACAAAGCAGGGCCGATACATTGAGAAGCCGGCAATCGGCCTACGCAAAAGCAGTACTGTCGACGCACCTACCCGGGAGCCCTGCATAGATGCAGCAAACAGCCCAAGTCCGGAGACTCAGGCCGTGCCCAACTGTAAATGGGCCCCAGGCCCTTAACTGTAGTCTCGGGCCTGGGGCGCAGGGTCTGAGGCCCAACCGTAAGCTACTGGCAGCTTCCAGCCAGGCCACACACAGCATCCAGGAGGCTGCCAGCTCCATAAAGGAAGTGAGGCAGCCCAGGCCAGGCATTCTGGCCAGTGCAGGCAATGCGGGAGTGCTGCTGCGCTCTCGCTTGATACTGCGCTGCGGCCAAAGGCACTGCCGGGGCGCGTAGTGGTGAGGTGAGGTGCTGCAGGGCAGCGGGGTGCAGGCAGCCATAGCCGGGCTGGTGGGCGCCAGGGGGTACAGCGGGCGATCTGGTGGTCTTCAGGGAAGGAGGCGCAGTGTGGGGTAATCAAGGTCTGATTGAGGGTGATGAGATACGCACCTGGTGCATGAAGAGAGGTCGGCTATGGTGTTGACAGTCATGCACATTGGTCTTCGAGAGTCGAAGTGACCTGTTTCGTGAACCAGCTGTGCAGGCAGGATAGTCGGGTAGAGTAGGCTGGGCGGTGGGCGCCAGACAGAGAGGAGCGACTTTGGATACTGTGTTGGTGTGGCCTACGGGCTTGAACATTGGCTCGTTACTTCGTTGTATTGGTCTATATGCATGGTATCTCGGCGCATTTTGTACTCTCTGCTTTGACACGACTACCTGGACATCTGTGTGATTTCACAACTTGGTTTTCTGTATATCGTTCACACTCGTATTCCTTGCAATTTGGGCTGTACTCAATAGGCACAGTACAGCCCCCAACTCAGATTTGAAAAAAAATCAGTGGATCGCTGTTTTCTGACTGGTCGGCAGACTGCCAACCGGTCGGCCTTACTGGTCGGCTGCAAAATGGTCGGCGGTCGGGGTCGGCGGTCGGCAGGCATGCATCCCTGCCCCCATGCAAGATATCAACGCATAAATAAATAAACAAATAAATAACTATGTTACCAGAGTGGCCGGGGACCACTTGCCCGGCCGGGCCAAAAATGAATTAAAAAAAACATATGGCAGTTCTATTTGACGATATATACTACGACTTCGCTAGCTTCCTGCTACGGTTTTCTCCAGTCAGGTCGAGCGGCAGTGGTCGGGGCCGTCACTACGCGGCCATGCTGTGCCTCTAGTGCCAGCGGCATGTCTGGAGTGTATTTTTTGGCTGTGACAGACCTTTCTTTGTTTCGTGGGTGTTTTGCTGGCTTGTGATGGGGTGTG